GTAAAGAAAAACACTGTGTATGTTCTTTACTTTTCTTTAATGTATGGATTTTATACTATTGGCTTTTACTTTTCACGTTAAACAAATTTCAAATGGGATACATTTCTTTAAATAACATAGGTACTTGGATAAAGGAATGGTGCAACGTATTAAATATGATGAGGAACAATTTGTTCCTCTCTATATATATATATATATATATGTATATATATATATATATATATATATATATTTGTTTTCTGAGGTTTTCGCGGGTTTATGTAAGTCTTTGGTTGTTCAGGTTTTCTTCCAATTTTACGCGGGAGAAAACCATATATATATATATGATGAGGAACAAATTGTTAGGAATATCTACACTGGAATGTTACGTTATGTCCATCTTTGTTTTAACTGTTTTATAAATATATACACATGTATGTATGTATGTATGTATGTATGTATGTAGGAGTATATTTGTAGCATTCTGTGTAGCTTCAAATGGTACATTTAGAGTTTATTTAATTTTTTGGGCCTTAGTAGTTAAGTGGAAAACTGTGATTATGGATCAGGCCATTAACAACTGAATAATAATAACATAGGATTTTATAAATGCCATCATGTAATTTGTAACTCCCAGAATTCTCCAATCAGCCATGCTGAGTTGAAGTCCACCCATCTTAAAAGTTGCCAAGGCTGACAAATACTGCTTTAAATGAATGAAACCTTTTAAGTGAATGGATTTAATTATCATCTACTTGGAAGAAAAAACTATGTAGTCTCTATAAACAAAAATCTACATAGCTCTGTAATCATGAGAGCTAGAAACTTGTAGCGAAACTGGTGATGTTGATTATGCAGAAAATATACTGTATATGTTACAGCTTGGTGTTTACAAGTCCTGACAATAAACGCCCAAGAAGCTAAGAATTTCAGGATACTTGTGATTTTCACAAACTGGTAATGTAATAACCTACCTCTGCAAAATTGTGCAAACAGTGATTTCCATCCACTGTAACTCTCTTATGAGCGGAAGGGCAGATGAGCAACAGAAAAGTGAAAGAGGATTATTTCCAGCAGGTTCTGCTTGCTTCATCTTCCTTATTGTCTAGTCCAGTTATCACAAGGGATAGATGAGTAAATAGTGATTATGATTTCTTCTTTCAATAGGGAAGCCTCAAACTAAAACTCACTTTAAATGATCTCATGATACAATGTTCCAGTTTAAATCAACTACAAACTTTAATTGATATAAAAATTGTATATGCGGGGGAAAATATTATAGCTTGAGTTCCATGCAGATATTAATAAAATAACAGCATTGGAAGGGACCTTGGAGGTCTTCTAATCCAGCCTCCTGCCAAACTGAATACCCTATGACAATTCAGACAGATGGCTGTCCAGTCTCTTCTTAAAAGCCTCGGGTGATGGATCACCCACAACTTCTGAAGGCAAGCCCTTCCACTGTTTAATTGTTCCTCCTTAGTTCGAGGTTGGTTCTCTCCATGTTGTAAACAGAGGACATGTTTGACATACTTTATTTCTTTTCTTTTGAGAGTGATTCCGATAATTTGGTATTCATTTTACTCAATTATTTCTCTTTGAAAATGATTTTCTTAATCAATTTAAAAATTTGTTGAACATAGTGACTATTGCTGTACAAATTTATTTCCAATTCATTCTACTTTTCAAAAAACATCTGTGTGTAAACTGATATTAAATGTTCATGTTCCTCCAGGCTCTTTTAAGCTTTCAAATGTTTTGTATATATTTGCCACTTGCCTTCATATAATTGCAGATGCTAGAAATTAAGTATGAAATTAGACAATAGAAAAGATGATGCGACAATTATACTTTTGTAGCCTGAAAATATTAAAGTAAACTCTTCCCAGTTGAGGGTCTGGAGATATCTTTTATAATTTGTCTGATTGCAGGCAGTCTTATTTTGTTTTTTGTTTTTAAATTCATATCCAGCTCAAGTATCTCCAAAATAAAACACCAACAGAAATTATTCATCTATATTGTGGAAGAGTGTGCTAATGTCATTTTTTTAAATTTAAACCTGTCAGATGTTTGGACACTCACACTTTTTGATTTAAGCAGCTAGTCAACAGCATCTCCCTAGGCTGTAACTCCAACTATTTTGAAATAAATTAATTCAGTGAAATTAATTCCTTGTTAAATGGATATAAGATTGTAGCTAGCATTTGGCTGTTAAATCTGTTTTCTGAAGGGTGCCTGAATGTGTCATCTTTGGTTTAATGTTTCATTAGCAGCTGATACAAGTTAAACTACTTGTAATGTATAGGAAACCTATACCCGAGATCTAAGTAGCTTAAAAATCTTAATTTTGTGAGGAAAATAGAAATAACTGACACATTTATCAAGTTCATGCTCTAATATTCTTTGAAGTAAGCCATCAAAGCTAATCTATACAGTAAGGTAGATTTATTCTGGTCCAGGAGCTCTTAACACTCAAAATATGCACATATTCTCTGCTCAGTCGGTTAGAATCATCACTGCATTTTGTCTAAAGGGAACTCTGAAGAAGTTACTGAATTTCTTGAAAAAGAAAGCTGGTGCAATTCATGTTCATTAATGGAACAAAAGAATCTAGATTGTGCTATCATCTCTGAGTCTTGCCTTCAGGTACTAGGATTCCTCACTAAAAACAATGTCACTAAGCTTCAAAACACTTCTAGGTAGAAATCTCAAAATTGGGCTGCCTAATTATAGGAAAACAGACTATGAAGTTTGATATTTGTCTTGCCCTTTAAGATACCTTTTTCTATGAAGGGCTGTTAACCCAGAGAGACAGAGCAAATCTGTAGTTATTCCTTGTCCCAGTATGAGAACTGCCTACTACATTTTCGTGAATGTATGTCTTCATATCTATACCTGTGTCTCAGCATCCTACCACAGCTGCGAGACCTCTCTGGAAGGACAGTTTTGCCTAATATTCTGCCTCAAGATACTGCATACAAATCATGTGTTTCAGGGCCTGAAATGCTGGAACTTTTGTGACTCCGGTCTGCTGTGATTGCTGCCTTCAGTCTGGCCCCTATCCACTTTGCCTGCCCCCCAATCCTGTTTTGGCATTGTTGGGGATTGAATTTGTTGCTTACAATCTCATTTTTCCTCTTGGTTGATTGAGCAGTTGTCTAATCGATGGGCAAGCAAGCATACCCTTTTGAGATTCCCACTGGCTATGTTACTCTTATTGGAGGAAAGTGTGATTGGAAAAACTCACTCCCTTGGATTGCTGTGTTTTTTTTTTCTCTTTTTCTGTGGTTGACTTGTTGAGCTAATAAGTCATTGAGCAAACTGTTAAGACTTTTTTTTTAAAGAAGCAGCAACATAAAAGCCTTAATTTGGTTGCCACAACTGGTAGAATGGTCAATGAGATGGGCCAGAGGGTAGAAAGCCCACAAATACATTGAGAAACTAATCCCTGGGTAATAATGAGAAATATTTAGATTGGATGCCTGACAATGGTATGTTGTAGGGGCAGCAAAATTTAGGGAGCATGATTTCCTAAAAACTCTGGATTTCTAAGGAAAATATGGAAAATGTGGGGATGTGGCAGTCAAACAAGTTTGAACCCAACGATAGATTAATCCAGAACCAATAATCCATGGAGCATGTAGTATTTCCATGTTTGACTTTGAGTCTCTTAAGCTAAGACAGACAATTCACAATTAAAGAATATGTGTACCTCATATGTAATGCTTTTTCTTAAAAAAAAAATGCATCCTGAAATTTCCCATTGTTTGCTGCCAGAATTCAGCAGTATTTTACCAACAGTAGGTTCATATTTTGGGGGGAATTTGAGGAAAGTGATTTGGGGAAACAAATAAATCAACCAAACATTTATAGGGATTTAATCTTTAAAAACTAAGAAGCAAAACTATGTAACAAAAACCACTTTTAACATTTCACTTTTATCATGTACTATAATAAGTTTTCACTTGTTTCCTGTTTATTCACTTTTAGCTTTGATTATACTAGTATTTGTAAGCTTGGTATGACTAGTACCTAAGAGAGTTATCATGTGAATTCAAGCTTGTTTGAATTTAAGAGGACTATGAAAAGAACTTCATTAATAAATGAAATGAAAGAAGATTGTCTGTGAAACTAAGAGAAATGTAAATGGTGTAATAGGTTTGAATAAGAGTCATCTGATCTTGTGCAGTGGAGTTAACAAATATGTGCAAGGAAGTGAAGGTGTAAGTTGAATTATGAACAGAAAGAAAGTAAAAGAAAAAGATGTGCAAGTATGAATTTACAGCTTGGTGACAGTTGTATGTTATGCTTCTATGAATGTTGTTGTTGTTGATGATGATGATGATGATAACATCACAGGGATGAGTTTAAGAGAGATTGCACAATATACTGACTGAATGTGATCTTGGAAAAAGTTATTCTGCTTGATGACAGAATAACAAAGACATCTGTACCATGTTGATGTCGCTGTTCCATTTAGTCTACTAATCATTGGCTCCCATCTTGCCATATTTAATCCTGAGAGGTTCTGGATATGGGTCAAAATATTTTCTGGAAATTCAAGAGTGTTTTCTTGGAAATTTAAAAGAAAAGGGGGGGAAAATACTAGACTGAATGTAGACTACAGGAAGAGAAAATATGAGTCCTATATGAAAGGACAGATTAATTTCCCAACAGAATGCATAGAAAACTGCTGGGGAGACAGTAAAAATAATTATGTTATATAAGTTTGTGCAGATATCCTAATGGGAAATATGAAAAAGGATGCTTGAAGAAATTATGAGGTGAAAGGGTGCGTATAAGAAAAAATGCACATAAGAGAATAATTGTTGCAAAAAGTAAAGACGAGAGATCTTGCTGAATCTATACCGTATATATTATAAGGAAAAAGATAGTGAAGCATGCAGTCAAAGATGGCAAGGAATTGTTAAGATTAGAGTGGCCCTACAAATATATAAGTGATTTTGATGAAGAATTTAAAAATGTGCTTTGACTGAAACAAAGTGATGAAATGATTTGGGATGAAACTGAATGAAGGGAATACTGGAAAGATTATTTTAGAGTTTTGTATTGGAATGATAGTGAATGAATCCTGTAAGTCTTCAAGAAAAAAAAAGTCAAAAAGAAAGTCAAAAGTGCTGTGAAAATTATGGAAAATTGTTAAGACTGAAGATATAGACTGTGTTAACTTGAGACATGTTAAAAGATGGATGTGCTTTGTTAGGGAGAAGATGTATGATTTATCTAAAGTACATTTGAATACTGCATCTGTAACTGATGACTGGAATTATTGTTCCTTTATACAAAAGGAAAGAAAATAAGAATGGATGCAAAAATGATGGAAGATTAGTATAGCTGGAAATGAAAGGTGAATAAGAGGTGATAGCAATTTTTCGAAGTATGGTTTTTATGCTGGGCAGATGGTGCATAGATCATTATGTGTGTGTGTGTGTGTTTTTAAGAGATCTTTTATAAATGTATGAATATGCGAAAGAAAGCTTATTGTATGTTTATTTATTTAGACAAAGGGTATAAAAGTAAGCAGGATTGGATTATGGTTCAATTACAGAGGTGAAGTTTGCTTGCAGAATGTGATAAGAGCTTTTAGAAGATAGAAGAGTGGTACTTACAACTGTATCTCTAAAGTAGACAACCCATGCCTCGTTGGATCAATATTTCAAAAATATTTCCTTAATTAAACTGAGAAACAGAATAACCATGGTTGGGTAAAAAAACAGTGGGAGCAGGAGGGATTTGCGACTTCCTGCAGCCTTTCCCACTGAGTTTCCTGGTGGAAACATCACAAATCTTCCTCCTTCCCTCCCGCCTTGAGAGTTTATAACTGGTTTGATATAAATTAGATTATTTAGCTCTCCTTCCCTTTTTTCCTTTGGCTTATTACTACATTGTCTTTTTCTGTTATGTGCAAAACATCATTCACCCATAAAGAAAAATTGCATGTTTAGTATAAATGGGGTTTTTTTTTGCATATGATTTCTCTTGGCCTCTGAAATAAGAAACAAGTTCTCCTTTTCGTCTTCTAAGCTCTTATTCACCTTCCAATTCTAAAAGTTCTGACTAAGAAAGTTGCAGACCTGGATTGAACCAGTTCTTGGAACACTGGGCTCTGATCTGCAGCTTCATTATATGTTTTACTTTTCTGTTTGTTTCATGATGAAAACAGATGTTAGCCTTATTAACATCCTTAAGATCTCTCACTCTTTTTCTGTTTTAGGTCACTGGGGACGATGTATTGGTGACTGTGGTTCAGGTGGTGTTCAGAGCCGAGTTGTATGGTGTGTACACTCAGAAGGCTGGACAACCCATCATTCAAACTGTGAACAAAGTGATAGACCTGAATGCCAGAGGAGTTGCTTTAAAATATGTGATTGGCACCTTGAACTCTTTGAGTGGGAAGTTTCAGAATGGAGCATATGCGTTCTAGTCCCTTTTGCCCACGGTGAAGTCAAACCAAGGACTTCAGACTGTGTAACTGCACAACATGGATTACAGCACAGAACTGTGCAATGCATACAAAAGTTGAATAGAACAGTGGTTGTGAATGAGATTTGTGGATATTTTATTCCTCAGCCATCAACGGAACAAGCCTGTCTAATACCTTGCCCACGAGATTGCGTCATATCCGAATTTTCTTCCTGGTCTGAATGTAGCAAACATTGTGGAAAAAGTATACAGCATAGAACCCGTTTCATTATTGCTCCTCCACTGTACGGTGGAAACAAATGTCCAAATCTCACTGAGTCCAGGGTCTGTGAGGTTTCCATGTCTTGTCCTCATGAGGAAGAGGAATATTCCTACAGTCTTAAAGTCGGACCTTGGAGTAAATGCCGGCTGCCTCATCTGAAAGAGCTTAACATGGTTGGGAGAACTATCCTGGATTTCAGCTCAGATTCAGTAGAGCGAAGCACTTTTAAGCTTGAAATGGTTGAAAATTTGCAACATTCTCACAAATTTAGATCCCACTACAGTTCCAGGGCTTGGGATATAGAAATTGGTTATCAAACAAGGCAGGTGAGGTGTACAAGAAATGATGGGAAAAATGCTATATTGAGGTAAGTCCTCTTTATTCACGACAAGTCTTTTCTTGAAAGGCAGTTACGTTCCCTAATGGGAAGAGCTGTTTTCTAGTGGAGCAGCCTACCACAGGAAGATGGAGGACCATCTGCTGCCAATTATGTGAGCAGAGGCTGAACAGCCACCTGTCAAGGTTACAGAAGCAGAGAACAGAGAGCTTGGCTACGTCATCTTTGAGATCCTTTTCAATGTTGCGTTTCTCTGATTCCATCTGTTTTTGTGTACTATGTCTATATTCTGCAATTTTCAGTAATATTTTTATATTTAATCTTATATACTTGTAGGGTAATCAGGTTCACATAGTTCAGAGAGACAGTACCTTTAAGTGTTTTCTCCTTCTTTTTTTTTCCTTTGGCAGAATTTCAACCCATATTTTCTGCTAAAGGGAGCAGATAGCATTCGTTGCCTATAGCAATTACAAAGGCCATTTCAGATATTTCAAATCACTCGACTGCTGATTATCAAAAGAGACACAGATGCGTGGCAGAAGTAATTCAAGTAATTCTTACCCATTTACGATTACCAAAGATTCATAAGAGCAGAAAATCTGAAATACATTCTATTGCAGTTGTGTCATACATGACACAGACAAAGCGGGAAGTTTTTCTTTCTTTCTTTAATAATATTTTTACTGAAGTTTATAGATACAAAGATAAAAACTAACAAAAATAAAAAGTGCTGAGAAAAAAGAAAAAGTGAAAAAGATATATTGTTAAGTTTTATATATATTCTTTCTGGAAATTCTTAACGGACTTTTGCTGATTAGGACTAAATCATCAGGCTTTATAATTTATTTATTAATAAGATGAAATAGATGATAGATTGATGATAGATTGGTAATTAGATAGATAGATAGACAGACAGACAGACAGACAAACTTCTCCCTCCATCAAACGACATTATTTTTCTGTGATATTTCAATGAAAAATCTCTTCTACCAGTATCTTATCAACATATATTCATTACAAATGTGTGTATACATGCACACGCACACACACACACATATATACACAAACATATATACACCTTGAGCAAAGAAATTTGTTTTATATTCCTATCCTTTATTTTTAACATAGTAATTTATCTGCAAAATCTTCAGAAAGGAATTCTGTGGTGCTGATCCATTTATTGGGACCTTGTTCTGATGTGCTTGCCTTCAGTCCACCAATGCTGCCCTGAAAATCCTCTTTGCTTCTTCAGAAAAAAAAAATTTTTTTTTTTCTTTCTCTCTCATACCATTGGGACAAGTAAGGTTGTTTGGAAGGGGATTTAAAACAATAAAATAAGCAGTGTTTCCTAAAAGAGATGCAGAAGATTGCTAATTTGGACAACTTTAAAAGACAATTCAGGGAGAATAGGTCTACCAAAACATTTTGGTCTTGAAGATACAAGGACAAACTCAATTAGAATCACAATCAGAATAGAGTAGAGCTGGAAGGGACCTTGGAGGTTGTCTAGTCCAGCCCCTTTCTCAAGCAGGAGATCCTATACCATTTCAGACAAGTGTCTGTCCAGTCTCTTCTTAAAAATCTCAAGTGATGAAGCACCTACAACTTCTGACTGCAAGCTGTTCCACTGGTTAATTGTCCTCATTGTTAGGAAGTTTGTCCTCATTTCCTTCTCTCTTTGATCAATTTCCATCCATTGTTTCTTGTCCTGTCCCCTGGTGCTTTGGAAAATAAATTGACCCCCTCCTCTTTGTGGCAGCCTCTCAAATACTGGAATACTGCTATCATGTGCCCCCTATCCTTCTTTTCTCTAGACTAGCCAAACCCAAATCCTGCAACCGTTCTTCATATGTTTTAGTCTTCAGGCCTTTAATATTCTTAGTTGCTTTTCTCTGCAACTTTTCCAAAGTCTCAACATCTTTTTTGTAATGTGGTGACCAAAACTGGACGTAGTATTCCAGGTGTGATCTTACTAGGGTTTTATAAAGCGGTACTAATACTTCATGTGATCTTGATTCTATGCCTCCGTTTATGCAACCCAGGATTGTATTAGCTTTTTTGGCTGCTGCTGCACACTGCTAGGTCATAGTCAAGTGGTCATCCACTAGGATTCCAAGGTCCCTCTCACAGTTGCTGTTTTTGAGCCAGGTCTCACCTAATCTGTACTTAAACCTTTGGTTTTTCCTGCCTAAATGTAAAAGTTCGCTTTTCTCCACATTAAATTTCATTTTGTTGAATAGGACCCATAACCAGTGAACAATTAACTAATGTACAATTAACCAGTGAAAATTAACCAGTGGAACAGCTTGCCTTCAGAAGTTATGGGTGCTTCATCACTGGAGGTTTTTAAGAAGAGACTGGACAGCCACTTGTCTCAAATGGTATATAGGGTCTCCTGCTTGAGCAGAGGGGGCTGGACTAGAAGACCTCCAAGGTCCCTTCCAGCTCTATTCTGATAGATTCATTGATACATTCTTTCATCCAGGACAGGGACAGTCTTCCTCCAAATTCTAATTATAGTGGACAATGGTGGGAGAAGATTATCTTTCCATAGCTTGGATCGGAATACCCCAAAGGAATCTGGTTGGGCATTGAGAGATACAAAATATTGCATGAAGATGGATTTGGGCCTAATCCATAGGGTTACTCTTGCGTATGTTAATACTGGAAATTAATAGGAATGTTGAAGATTGAACTGTACCATGTATAGAAATGAATCTTTAAAGAAATAAATCTTCCTTAGGCCGTTGCATGGAGATCGCCTGTAAATTGACAGGCTAACAAAAGAAATATATATTTTGGTATGGTATGGTCTCTGCTAATTTGACAATTTAGAGTGAATCAATGTTCATGCCAATCTAACATTGCAAGTCATGTTACAGAGAAATGAAATTGATACATACATCAGAGTTTAGAGTTGAATTGTTTGCTGTAACTACGCAGACCATCAACCAAATAGTTGTTTACACTGAATCATCAATTTTTTGCATTTTAGAGCTAAAAAAGCTTGGCTCTTATTTAAAAAATATAAGTTCCATAGTTGTAGATTAGCTAGTAAGATTAATCTTTTCCACTACAATTTCTTGCCAAGCTCAGGGAAGATAATAATTCCATTAGTACAATGTCTATTACCATATTCAAGCTTCAAGCTTTTTTATAGAATGGGAACTTTGTCATGTATTTCTAATAGAACTTTAACATTTCTTTCTGTCAAGTTTTTCTGAGCTAATTTTTCTTATCATTCCTGTATTGTAAATGTAGTAAGTAAATACATGGAAATAATAATTTGAATACAAAACTATTCTAACAACAAGTAATGGGGAATGATAAGTAAATAGCACTGATACCTAGTATTAGGTTATGTATAAAATATAACAAATGTTGAAGGCTGAAATAATGTAAGAGATTGGATCCCTCTCAATTCTTCTGGTTTCCTTTATATGATCCCTTTATCTGACGTGTAATTCCCAAATCTCACTAGAAGAAAATAAGGACAGGGATAAAAGGAGTTTGTTAATGTTACTGAAATATTTGCAGGACCAGTGAAATAGAAATGTATTTCTTAGTGTATTTGTGACCTTTTGTTTATTACACTGTATATATCTTCTTTTTTGGAGGTGTGATTTAGGCAAAAGGCACATTGTTTTGGTACAAATTGTCCTTGTAATTCCTGTGGTTTTTGTTTTACATAGAGTTAAAGATATAGCCACCTTCCAATCTTGCTTGAATTATTCTGCAGCATTGTATTTGCACAGGAGTCTCTGTACTTAATTCCTGTATAGACCAGATTAATTTGCCGTATGATTCATGGCTAGAGAAAGACATAAGCACATGTGTTAAAACCAAATCATTTTAAACAATGCTTTTGGCAGCATTTTTGTTCATTACTAGGGTAAAGATATACTTCAAGAGAAAAAGACCCCTGATAGGTAATCCATTCATGAATTCATGAACTCATTTTGGTGCAGATTTGAAATGTTTCCTCTTCTAGACCAGTTTTTGCATAGTGCTCAATTTAAAATCTTGAGACTAGCTTACTTGGCACTTGCCTGTCCATGATCCTGAATGATACAGCTATCTAATAAGAAGGTTGGTAGAGGAGAGATTTTATCTTTTCTTTTCTGTAATATATGTTTGGATGTATCATTTTACTATTTTCATTCTGCTTTTTGGAGTGCTGGAAATTATTTATCAAAAGTATATTGATAAACATATATTCCAAATCTCATTTCCAGTAGGTGAGGATGCTCCTTCAAGGCCATGCAAATACCAATCACTGCTTCCTTCTTTTGTCTGAAATGAACTTTTTGGGCCTTGAAGCAAAAGAATGGAAGAAAGTAGTGATGATGGCACTCTCAGGAATAAGAAAAACAAAGAGTACCTGTTCTGCTTGTTGTATTGCTATTAGCAGGGTTATGAATAGGGGTGATTGCTTTGTTGAGTACCCCTGTTGCAACGCCCATCTCCTGTAGTAATACTAATATCCTTCAAACTGACAATATCAAGCATATTGTAATCAAGAAGAAGGTTAGAAGTGAATAGAGAGTGAAGAAGATATTAAAGTCCAAACTCAATGGAGGAGATACCATGAAGGCAATTAATACTTGGAAAATTCCAGTCGTTCATACACCGCTGGAATAGTCTACTGGACTCAAGCAAAACTAAAAGCCTTGGATAGGAAGACCAGAAAAATAATGACAATGTATTATTCATCCATGCAGCAAGGTTAACAGACTCTACTTACCAAGGAAAATAAGTGGGCATGTTGCAACTACATTGGATGGTTAAAGAGGAAAAAAAGGGGATTGGAAGAATATCTGAAGGATAGTGAAGAAGATGCATTGAAGATAGCCTTGCTGGGTACTGGAGAGACCAAACTGGCCTACAAATGAAGAACTTGACCGGGGGATAAATAGGCCAAATCCAGCCTATATACCTGGCTAGCTTTGCAATGAACCATGACGATGATAATAATACTAATTTTTCAAACAAACTATGTGAAAGATCTTTTTTTACATTTTTATGTAGCAAATATCAATTATATTAATTTGCAGTTTACAAAGCAGAAATGACCCTTTAGTACCTTTGTGATTTTATGCTACATTTAGAGTAATTAACCTCACATTATATGTGATTAAATGCTGTGATCCTGTTACAAAATTGTGGCATCATGAGACCATTATACAGAGAGCGGCTATTGAGCTTGTCTCTCATTTCAAGAAATTTACACCCCAGTCTTAATTATTTGAAGAAGAAACTTATTAGGGGAAGTCTCATTTTCTGAATGACATTTGCATGGCCTACATATTTCAACTTTCCAAACAGTAGCCTTAAATCAATGAGATAGTAATATTGGAATTCTTTCAATTTTGCCACGCTCTTATATTACTTTAAAGTACTCCTTTAATTGAACCATCTGTACATTCTTGCTCCTGCTATGTCTCTTTTGTTTCCTTAATCTCTTCTACTATTTGGCAAGAGATAACAAATTGGGGATTGATTGATAAAATGTAACTGGAGGACCTAATTATTATGGAGTAGTTGTAGTGTTTTTTTTTTTTTTTTAATCTTTGGTGGTAACTCTTCAGGATTTGTTTTTAACAAAATGCTTTCTTATCACAGCCTTTGTATGCAAGAAGCCATCCCTTTGACCTTTCACTCCTGCATTATGCCTAAAGACTGTGAAACATCAGACTGGTCTTCCTGGAGCTCCTGTTCAAAGACTTGTTACTCAGGGGATCTCTCACCAGGATTCCGCCACAGAAGAAGGATTATAAAGCATGTTGCTCTTGGAGCTGGGAGGGAGTGTCCTGAAACGGAAGAGAGGGAAGCCTGCAATACCGGTGGTGGAGGAAAACATCTTCCGCCTTGCCCAAGGTAACCCATGCTTTTATATTTCTCTTATTTCACCAGAGTTGATCTTCAGCTGCCTTTAGTGGTTTTAGGGTCCTACGGTTGGCGTCTTTGGATCTAATGAAGAACCAATGAATGGACCCCTACACATTGTTATGAATATGACAGATACCCAAACCCTTGTCCTCCATGTATCTCAGGATGCTTTTTATGCTTTTGGAGTAGAGAAAAGGAAGATGATTTTGAAGGAGAAATGCAGGAACATTTGTTAAAGTCTAGAACAGTTAGATTGCATTTAGGAGGTGGCTCAGACAAACTAATCCTATAGGTAGTCCTTGACTTGTCACCATTTGTTTAGTGACTATTTGAAGTTACAACAGCACTGCCAAAAGTACCTTATGACCGTTTTTCACACTGACAACCGTTGCAGCATCCCCATGGTCACGTGATTAAAATTCAGATGCTTGGCAACTGATTCATATTTATGAGGATTGTGGCATCCCAGGGTCATGTGACTTACCTTTTGTGACCTTCTGACAAGCAAAGTCAATGGGGAAGCCATTCATGTAACAACTGTATTATTACCTAAACAACTGCAGTGATTCACTTAAGAACTGTGGCATAGGTGGCACCTTGCTCAATAGTAGTAACTGTGAGAGGGACCTCGTAGTCCTAGTAGACAATCACCTAAATATGAGCCAGCAGTGAGCTGCAGCTGCCAAAAAGGCCAACACAGTGCTAGGCTGCAGTAACAGAGGGATAGAATCAAGCTCACGTGAAGTGTTAATACCACTTTACAATGCCTTGGTAAGGCCACACTTGGAATACTGCATCCAGTTTTGGTCACTGCAATGTAAAAAAGATGTTGAGACTCTAGAAAGAGTACAGAGAAGAGCAACAAAGATGATTAGGGGACTGGAGGCTAAAACATATAAGGAACGGTTGCTGGAATTGGGTATGTCTAGTTTAATGAAGAGAAGGACAAGGAGGGACATGATAGCAGTGTTCCAATATCTCAGGGGATGCCACAAAGAAGAGGGAGTCAAGCTATTTTCCAAGGTGCCTGAAGGCAGGACAAGAAGCAATGGGTGGAAACTAAGCAAGGAGAGAAGCAACCTAGAACTAAGGAGAAACTTCCTGACAGTTAGAACAATTAACCAGTGGAACAACCTGCCTCCAGAAGTGGTGAATGCTCCAACACTGGAAGTTTTTAAGAAGAGACTGGACAGCCATTTGTTCGAAATGGTATAGGGTTTCCTGCCTGAGTGGGGGGTTGGACTAGATGACCTCCAAGGTCCCTTCCAACTTTTTTATTATTACTATTATTATTATTATTATTATTATTATTAAGAAAAGTCGTAAAATGGGGCAAAACTCATTTAACAACTACCTTGCTTAGCAATGGAAATTTGGGGCCCAAATGTGGTGGTAAGTTGAGGACTATCCATATAAAAAAGATGAGATTAAGGACAATCAGACTTGCAGAATTCTATTATAATAGCCAATCTGCAGCCTTGCTGTAGAGTTAAACTGCTAGTCTGGATCCGTCTAGTGGGAATGGCATTCTGTATCACAACACAGGAACATATTATAAGTGACTTTGTGTCAACATTCTCTGGAGGATTGCCCAAATTTGGTAAAGGGTTAAATGAGAACAAAGAAACGAATCAGGAGGAAGCCTGTGTCCTTGATGGTTTGTGCTTCCCTTAAAAGAGTAGTGCTCTTTCCTTTTCAGCTATTGCTAGCTTCCCAAGTGACAATTGTAGAGAGGCGTGTGGTTGCACCCTTACTGCTAGAATGTGGCAACTGGCTACTCATATGTCAAATGGATTTTCAATATTCAGGGTGTTTTGAGCACATTCCAACTGCACTGTGCAAAATGCTGTATGTGAAAAGTATGCCAAAATTGACCCATGTAAAGATCTGGTTCCCAGGATACCCAGGCTGAAAAATCTGCACTCTTGCTTTCCAAACACATTTTAGAGCATAGCCGTGAATTGTTAAATTCTCAATTGTTAAGACATTGACTATCTGAGCCATTTGCCCTGCCTAACCTGTTAAAAATCTGCGGCTAAGGCATGTAAGAAAGCTCCTCAGAAGTTGTTTTTCCCACCCTAAAAAAACATGCCAATCTTATGAATAAAATAAGGCAAATTTGCTTTTAAGAGATAGATCTTCCTCAGTATTTTGGAGACTATGTTCACAGGCTATTGGGGGAAGATACTTGAGGAAACAAAGGATGAAGAATTCAGTCTATACTCTTTCATTGCTGTTTCACTACTCTCAGAATTTTTAAAACATTTGTAATATCAAGTTTTTGCATCATCTGTCTTCCTGGTCATTGTCAATAAAAAGAGAAAATAAGTTTAATATTAAAACACAGCAAAATATGAAAAAAACACATTTGTAGATGTTTAGTGCATAATCTTTAGGCGTAGAACTAGATGTGCAACATAACTATAATTATCTAAAAGCAATGAGGTTTCAAATTTATTAAACTTTATTCCTGCCTGACTTCAGCTTTCTATTGAATTACTAACTCTTGTTGAATTGATCTTCTGCTTTTGGTAAGGTAGAAATCGCAAGTAGATAAAAGTAGAAAAAAAAAGATTATGGGTTAGAGGGCTGTGTGCCAAAAGAAGAAGGAGTCAAGCTACTAGATCAAAGCTATTATTATTATTTGAAAACACTATCATTGAAGTGAGAACATGCCAAGGGTATTTTTTAAGCTACTAATTTTTGCAAATCCAGTTGTAAGAATCCTGATACACCATGCTCAATATCAGCTAAAAATCAGAATGTTCATCTCTTTAAAAGCTACAATATTGAATATGAGTACACAGGCATTCAGACTTGAAGAGGAAAAGATCTCTCGGCATACATGGGGCACTGACTTCACACTTATCAGCAGTTCTTTGTGATACTAGGAGATTGTGGAAGTGCCAGTAAGTGCATTGTGAGAATCACACAAGAGGAAAAAACACAAGTGTTTCTGAGAGTTTTTTTGCTCGTAAAACTGTATAGAGAATAAAAGCAAATGTGACTGTAATTTTCCTTTCTTTGGGTTAAAAAAACCCTCTTCATATACATTTACAATGTTTGACTTTTTGGCAAATAAGAGTTAGGAAGACTGACAGGCTACTCTCTCTCTCTCCCTCCCTCTCCCTCTCTCCCCCCCTTTACTGGTCTAGTGCATGTAGCTAAGGGGAGCATTTAATTGGAATATTTAGTTGGAAGGAGGTTATATACTGTTCCAATTGAAACTGACTTTCAGTGGTTTACCATACCCTCTTTATATAAATCAGGTTGAAGACTGCAACATTGAAAATAAATCATAGAGTTCAAGGCAATGTTCAGTGATAGGCTTGGGGGGGGGAATGTTTTAGAATTGTAGTCTTTTCTGTAGGCAAATATTTTAGTTTTATTGAAGACCTTTTGTTTTGAACCTTATCCAGCTCTTTGTCCTTGAAAGCTTTTATGTCTGCCCATACACTGCTGTTTATTCTTCTTCCTGTGAATGCTGGAACTTTTATCAAATTTACCCTGTGAGGAAGAAATAGGAAAAAAAAACATAGAAACATGGAATAATAGGGCTGGAAGGGATATCAGAGGTCCTGTAGTCCAGCCTCTTGATCAGTGGTTCTCAACCTGTGGGTCGGGACCCCATTTGGGGTCGAATGACCATTTCACGGGGGTCGCCAAACCACGCTGTCCACCATTTTTCCCCCTTTTCCCTAGCTGTCCTACTCCCTCTTATTGGTGGCCACACCCACTTGGGGGTCACCACAACATGGGGAACTGTATTATGGGGTCACGGCATTAGAAAGGTTGAGAACCACTGCTCTTGATCAAGGCAGGTGCCTTATACCATCCCAGTCAAAAAGTAATATACCCGTAGTTTCACAGTGAAGATAGAAAAAAACATTATAGCAAAGGTAGAAAAAGAAAAGAAAAAGTATAAATTTTCACCAGGCAGGCAGCCCAGGATGCATGAAATGGCCGTGGAAGGAGGTGACCTGGGTCCAGTCCTGCCACAATGCAAAGTGGCCAGTGGAGCTGTAACCTGTTGAATGAAATGAAACCCATCAAATGAAAGACAGAACCACTTGAGATGGCTCACTCTGAATAAAACAAGTTTAAAATTTTATTACTAATATTTTCCCCTCATGGTTTTTTTCCCCTCTTGTTGGTTTTCATTCCGTTTGGGAAATCCTGAGGTATTGGGAATAGTCCTGAGGGGACATGGTCTGAAGTAAGTTCCTCTAAATGACAATGGAATTTATGCTCCAGAAATAGCATCTAGTCTTGCAATCCTTTTCATTTGCAGTACTGTTGAATGGATCTCTTTGTGATGTGAACTGGACTTTACATAAAGATTTTCTATTCCTTATTTTCTACAAGATATTCATGGAAAACCTCTGAATGGAAGGAATGTGATGTTTCTCTCCTGTTGGAAAGACAGGACCCTCGACTTGATAAACACGCATCATCCCTCTGTGGAGGTGGGATACAGATCCGCGAGATCTACTGTGCCCAGACAACTTTGGAGGAAATGCACAAGTCAAAGGAAGGTACATAGAAATTATTTACATCTCCCCTGGTGAAATAGGAATGTGTGCGTGGATGTGTGTTGAGGGACATATAAAAAATTCGATGTTTTATCTGCCTCATATCTAGGTGAACTGGGGGGGGGAAAAAGGTTGCTTTAAGTCTGTGTAAGGCAATCTGAATAAATAACCAAACTGATGTGAAGTAAAAACGGAAAGGCAAAATACATATTTATTAGCAAAATTAGAAAAGTATTATTTTGGGTTATCATTGCAAATAAGTAAAATTTGGATGAATGTCATGTAGTACACACATATCCACACAGTTTGAAATAAAAAATGATATTGAAAGAGTGGACATGTTAGCTGATATGGAATTGTCAGATAAGGATCATGTATATTTGTTTTAGTTTGTCAACCCGACTCATTTTGATGGGGGCATCGCATTTTGGAAGTGGCTAGTAGATTAGTAGAAAAACCCACCTCCATCCTGTCTATGCAGTGGCTCTTTTTATCTGTTTTAATATGAACTGTAATATTTTAACTTTTAACGTCCAATGATTTCATGTTTTATTCCTGTAATAGTTTATCTTGTTATTTAAGCTGCTCAGAATCTCTTGCTAGAATGATGGGCGGCACAAAAATTTAAATAGATAAAATAAAATATTTTATATTTATTTTAAATACTCCTTAGAAAAATACAATTTTGTTGCAGAAATGGTGGTCAAAATTCTATACCTGAAATCCAGAACTGGCTTGTTTATGAAGAAAAAGCGAGTCTGTTTTTAAGAGAGGTTGCTTGCCTCTCCCATTTGGCCTGAACTTTCTGTTTGCTGCTGCTGAATATTGATTCTGTCCATTTGTAAAAGGGGGGGTGGGCACTTTTATCGCCATCCCGCCCTCCACAAAAAACACCTTTGCCTCCTGCTAAGCTTATATTCAGCATTTGCAGGAAAAGTCTTTATAAAGTGAGCAAGATAATCACTCCCTTTGTTCACTATGTTCATTAGTGAGTCGGCTATGTGTGTTATCTTCTGCTTTCTTTCCTCTGGATGGTTGCCCTGGTGTCAGAGTTTTGCTGAACAGACATGGAACCATCAAAAAAACTTAAGGGGACTGGCTTGATCCAAGCCATAAAAGCAAAGCTTTGAAATCATCTAATTTGAAATATAAAAGTATTGCAATGCAGCCAAGTTATAGAAGTCAGTTCTTAGAATTAATTAGGAAAATCATGGTTAATTGGTTTAGTTCATTGCTGTGGGGGAAATTTTTTTCCAAAGTTTTATGCTGCTTTAAAATCAAGGGGGAGGGGATGTTTCCCATAATAAACATCAAAGATCAGTTAATATTGCTGTTTTAGTACATTACAGTAAAAGCAATTTCTTTCTTTAGGAGGCACTCAGAATGGTATAAAGTCCACCTTCCCTGAAGCATTCAGAACAGAGAGATATAGATTGTACGTTATGTCATGCCCCCATGTAAAGGGTTTTTAAACAGTATGTAACCTACATGGAGTTTTTAATTATATTGGCCACAGGAGGCACTATATGACTGACTTCATCCTATTTGGGATTTATCAGACTTTGGTAGTCGGGCATTATTCTATGCGGTTCAAATCCTCCATCAGGATTTGAATTTGTTGACCTTAGTGTGTATAATACAGACTGCATATAGTGCATTAGGAGCTATCTACGGTGCTCGATGGTTTCAGAAGAGGTATATGGAAGTGATCAGAATGTCTTTGACTTTGCTCTCAATCTAACATAGAATTGGTAATATCAACCTCCAGCTCGAGTATCCAAATAACAGTCCAGGATTATTCTCATCTCTGAAAATCTTACCTTTTATTGAATACATGGCCTGGTAAAGGTGAGGTAAAACTAACTCTAAAGTCCCAAAGCATCAGACCGTAGCATATATCAATAACTTTCCCAGCCAATTCCCCCCACCAGATGTCCACGTAGCTCATGCAAACAATTTCTCTTTGTTATGGGACCCGACATTCTTCACACCTGCTAGAATGTCCTTGAAAGGTTTCTATACTAGAACTGCAGAGGTTTCATTTCTCTAACTAGCCCACAGGTTGGCAACCTGCGGCTCCGGAGCCGCTGCGGCTCTTTGAGCCTTCCCCTGTGGCTCCCAGCCTCTTCTGCCTTTGCAGAGAGAGACAGAGACAGAGAGAGGCAATTGCGCTTCCCTGCTTCTCTCTCTCTCTCTCTCTCTGTGTGTGTGTGTGTGTGTGTGTGTGTTTGTGTGTGTGTGTGTCTGTGTGTGTGTGTGTGTGTGTGTATGTGTAAAAGAGCGTGCACTCACAGTGTTCCCCGAGGAGCTGAAAAGCTTACTGGGCAGAGCTCCTCCCTTTGCTGCATCTCTGCAGGAAGCAGGAAGCAGGAAGGGCAGGAGAGAGCTAGCTAGCCCAGCTAGGCTGACTCAGGAATTCTGGGAGTTGAAGTCCATGAGTCATAAAAGAGACGAGGTTGCTTATCCCTGAGCTTGTTGGACAACAGCTTGAAGCTTGCCAGGTGAGCAGCAGATAGGAGGGGGGGGAGAGAGAGAGAGAGAGAGAGAGAGAGAGGGAGGGAGAGAGAGGAAAGAGAGAGAGAGAGAAAGAAAGAAAGAGAGCGGGGGAAGAGGAGTGGCAGACCAAGGGCAGATAGAGAGGGAGGGAGAGAGACAGAGAGAGAGACCCTTTTGACGTCTAAAATGAAGATAACACTGCATATATCCTTTTTTTTACCTGTGTGTGTATGTGTATGTGTGTGTATATACATATATACATATATACATACATATATACATACATACATATACATACATATACATACACATACATATACATATATACACACACACATACATACACACACAAACACACACACACACACACACACACACAAACACACACACACCTATAATAAAGGTAAAAAAGGATATATGCAGTGTTATCTTCATTTTAGATATCAAAAGGATTTTGCGGCTCCCAGTGTTTTGTTTTTGGTGGGAAACGGGTCCAAGTGGCTCTTTAAGTGTTTTGGGTTGCCTACCCCTGAACTAGCCCATTCAAAAGCAACACCTCCCTCCCCTTACTCTAATGGCAAGATGAAAACAGAGAGGCACGTAGCTGCCAAATTTTCACTCTTGACTGGTATATTTTATTTTGTTTAAAGACAGAGCTCAGTAATATCCAAACATTATTTTCCAAAAATAAAGGTCAGCCCTTATCTCAGAATTCTAGGTAAAAACGAGCTCCTACTGTAACACAAACTAATTGATTCCATTTTAAATCCCTGTTTTGAAATGATTCTAAATCCTTTTGGTTGCAATATCTTGGCTTATTTCTGTCCCGCCTTTGACTTTTCTCCTGTTTGATATGCACCTCAGCGAATTCAACAACCTATTCATTGTTTTATCATCCGGTGTTTGTGCCTAAGAAAGATATTGCTCAGGTGGTTGTATAATATCATGCAGCGGGTTTCATTCTTTAGGTTTTAAAAGCTCAAGAAAAAGGTTATTGGAAATTTGGAAAGCATTTGTACACTTAAAGCATGGTCCCTGCTTTTTCTGCTTTTTCTGAAGCAGACACTTATCCAGATGGAGCAGATTGTTTTTGGTCGAGGCTTTGATGAGATCTTGAAGAAATTCAACTCTAGACATTAATAGTATGCACACCTAGGGCTTGACAGCAACGTGCCTGGAGAAATCCAACAGTAAGTTATTGTGGTGACCCAACCACATATACGCCTGTGATGTGTGCCTACAACTAAACTGCTGTCTCTCTTATGGAATAATGCAAGTTTGTTTGAGGAATAAAAATAGTAATTCTATAAACCAGAATATATTGGACCAAGAACAAACATCCCTACGCACCATTCTTTCCTCTTATCCTCTGTTTTTTATATATTTCATGTAATATACTCCTATGTATTTAGAGATTAAACTAATCCATTCCTTTTCTTATTCTGATGTTGTGGTTTACATAACCTTTCATTTTGCCTCAAGACATGGTGAAGAAAGGGCTGGGTCATAAACTGATTTTTGCCTGCTGTAATCTCCAGACTAAATAATAATATAGGCCATCCATGAGATTAAGAAAATCATAAAGCACAGTGGAGATAGAGACATGGCATGAATGACTTACGGAGATAAAGTGGTTTGATGTTAAGTGGAAGCATAAAACACAACTCTGTACTTTCTCATATTACCACCTCTGTAAGAGCCAAAGATGTACTAAGAAACCTGATTGTAATATAGAAGGTATGATTTAATAACCTTATTTATAGCTTAACTGCAATCTATAAATGGATATATAGAGTCCAGTGACTATGAAATCATTAATATTGAAATCATGAGCTCTACTGAATTCAGTATGATAGATCCAAAAAGGGGTTCTAGTTTGCCACTAAAAAGGATTATTTTCTGTGCTTAATTCTTCATGTTGTGTTCCAAACATTGAATTATTTGTGGCAATAATTCTCTAATTACAAGGGTCATTTATTGCTATATGACCTTAAATCAATATTTTCAAACCCCTCTTCCATCTTTAATGCCATGTACAGCCTATAATTAAATTCCATGTATTTATGTTTCTCTTTTTTATGTCTGCTTCTCTTATATTTTCTCTCATGTTTTACTTTAAAAGACAAACAATAACAAAAAATGTTAATTGCACTGCCAGCAAGGGCTGATGAGGGCAAAGGATATGACATATGATCAGTATAATAAATAGTTATGTGACTTCTCGTAAATTGAAAATGAATTGCTGTTTTTTAAGGAGGATCTTGTAAGGCTGGAAACAATTATCTTATTTGTCTTATTTGCTGCAATTATATCATCAGGACTGGTTTGATGAATTAGGATCCATAATGGTGATTCCCTGCCCGCTAGGTGTGATTGTATCATTGAGAAATAGCCTGTAAACATGTGGAATTGATTCACTGAAGAGCTGAAACTGAAAGTATATTTAATGGGCACAGAATGAAATATACAGTAGATAACAACCGGATCTTACCTTTTCTTAAACAGAA